TATCCCTGCTGCCAGAGTTATACCAGGACCCCTCTCCCCACACTGCCCTACCCACTGCCCCACACACTGTAGTGTCCACTAGAGCCATACTCTGATTTCAGGCATTTTCCCTGCTTCTCAAGAGTGCAGTACACAAAACTCAGAGACAGTCAAAAGCAGCAGAAAACTCCAGCATGCGTATTTGCATATGAGAAACTGAGCCATCTAAGATGGTACTTTAAGGATTTGGTCAGTCCCTGAGCATGTTATGGCAGTTCAGAACACTGCTTCAGTCCAAAGTCCATACCTAAAACCCTGCTCAAAGGGTAAGTTAGGACATGTCTGTATAGGGAAGTTAATGCATAGTAAATTAGGGTGCAAATTTACAGGGCACCAGCTGTTCACACTAATTCCCTGAATAGGCCCAATCATTCCACACTTCAAAATGGAGTGAGCTATCTGGCATGAAGGCACTGTGTTCCCTCAGGGGGAGTTGATGAAGAGTAACTTACTGGGCACATCTACAAGAGATGCTAAAAGCTCAGTAGACTAATTCTACTGCGCATTAGCATGTCACAGCAAAAAGCTGTGCTAATGCAATAATATGCAGTAGAATTAATCTACTGAATATTAGCATCACATAAAAGACCTGCACCAGTGCTACTGCACAGTAGCATCAGCTAAAGTGCATTAAGTTAGTACCTGTTATTATAGGTACTAAACAATACACTGTAATTATGGTGCATTAATGCATGTGTAGATGTGCCCACTGTGGAGTCAGTGCTGCACCATCACAACTGTGCAGCCTCGCTGTATAATGAGCTGTACCTATCCAGCTGGGTCTCAGTGGGCACGTCTACATGAGACGTTTACTGCAGAGTTGACTAATTAGCTCTGCCGTAAAGCCTCTGCCTGCTGGCTAGCCCCACACTGGAGCGCACACATGTCCCAGCCAGCCTCTCCACAGCATGTTGAGCCGGGTTGAAGCAGCCCCAGGCTGGCAGGCTGACCCCCAGTGTTCCCTGCCAGCTGGGGCTGCTCCACCCCGGGTCAATGTGCTGTGGTCCCAGGCACATGTAAAAACACTGTGCCCAGGAACAATAAATTCCAGTGCAATCTATGCTAGAGTTTACTGCGTCGAATTAATGTCATGTGTAGATGTGCCCCATGAGGAAGCAAATCCATTCTGCCACCTTCCTGGCCCAGTTAGTAAGTGACCTGCTACCAGGGGACACCAGTTACTAGGAGTGGGGAAAGTGGGTCGTATTTGATTCGGATTCGGTCCAAATCAGGAACAGTGATTTGATTTGTTGATTCAGATCACTGTCCCCGATTTGATTCAGCTGAATCTGAAGATTCGATGCTAATTCGGAAAATCAGCGATTTGGCCATAGACACAACTTTAAATGTTTTTCTACATATCTTAAGGTACCAGCATGGCTTGTGAACGCTGTGATGCTGGGGAAGAAGGAGTGTCCCACAGGAGTGCAGGGGGGGCCCCCAAATGCTCAGCAGTGAACCTGGAAGTGGACCAGAAGTGCTTCTGGCCCACTTCCAGGTCGGCTGCCGAGCATGCTGGGAAGCCCCCCACGCTCCTGTGGGATACTCCATCCACCCCAGCATCTCAGTATTCACGAGCTGCCTGGTACCTTGAGGTATGTAGAAAAAACATTTAGAGCTGTGTCTATGTCCGAATCTCTGAATCTTTCTGAATCACTCCTAATCGATTTAGAGAGTTCCAATTCGATTCAGGGAGATTAAAGGGTCTCCTGATTTGATTCAGATTTGGAGATTCGGCCACCAAATCAGGCTGAATCTCCACTGAATCAAATCATGGACTGAAGCTTTGCGCAGACATACCAGTTACCTGAGTTGCTTTATACATGCCACCAAATGTCCAGCAGGGGATGTAGACAAAACAGGCAGTCATTTTAACAGCTCTAAGAGATACAGCCCCTCATATCCCAAATAAAGTTTTTTCCCCTTCTCTTTGCTGCTCCAAAGCTCAATTACCTAAGCTCCTTGTCATGTGAAGTCAGGGTGACCCCTAATTCAGCCCATGTCATATGCAATATCTATGAGTCCTTTCATGAGTACAGCATCAGTAATCATGTAATCTCTTTGCACTTCAAAACAAATAAACCCCCCCAAAACAATGGCAGTAGTAGGTATGAGCATTGTAACTCACAGCAGGCAGGGTGGCACCTTAGAGACTAATTAATTCACAGGAATCAGCTTTTGTAGGTGATAGCCTACTTTGTCAGAGACTATGAATTCCTGATGAAGTAGGCTGTCACCTATGAAAGCATATACCTTTCTAACCAAGTTAGTCTCTAGGGTGCCACCCTTCCCAGTCTTTTGCTTGACTTTCACAGGGCTAACTACTTCTCCCTATTTCACTCACATAAGTGAAGTTGGCCAGAGCTGGCCTTTCCTCTTCTCTCCAAAAGAGGGAGCAGAGAGCCTCCATTTCCCTAAATCTAGCCATGGAGCTTATGTACGCCTGATGATGATGAGCGGTGAGATTTGTTCAAGCCTTTTAATTCTTCTGGAGAGGATCTGGAACAAGCCACTAAAACTCAGGTCAAATTTCACTTTCAACAAGCTGTGCTCAATTTACTGTAAACACAAGTGTTACCAAAGTTAATAGCAGTCTTGTTTGCATCTGATAAAAGTTTCAGAGCAGTAATGTGACAAGCAGTGGGTGTGTCTACATGTGCTATTGGGGGGCATCAATAAACTGTGGTGCATATTGTGAAGGAATGTATTGCTCCTAGGTGTGCCATTTGATTGTGCACCCAGGACTGCAGCACATTGAGCCAAGTCAAAGTAGTGTTGGCTGGCAGGAGGACTTGGGGGGTCAGCCTGCCAGCCTGGGCTGCTCTGACCCGGCTCAGTGTGTTGCAGAGGGGCTGGCTGGGGCACGAGGGTGCTCCAGGGCAGGGTTAGCCAGCAGGCAGTCCCTGCGCTGAAGCACCCTCTTGTCTCAGTCAGCCACGTCAGCATCTACACATGCACTGCTGTGAAGTAAAAAATGCCAAAGCAGGCTAAGACTTGTACGTACAAATACTATCCTGCTTTAGAGTTTATTAGTTTCCTGTGGCCTGGTAGGGCTGCACGTATAGGTGCAAGACATTTACTGCAGAGCTAATTTGCCTACTCTGCAGTAAATGTCTCATGTAGACTCACTCAGTGATATCTTTCTTTTTTAATTCAGTGGCACATTGCCACATATTGCATGATGTTTCTTTTATATATTACCATCCAGAGTCATAACTAGTAAATGTTGTGTCCTGGGCAAAGGCAAAGGCAGTCACAGTATAGACTCCCTTGGGATGGGTCACCCCCACCACCCAGGGCTGATGCCCCACAACCCACCCCTAGCTATGCTAAGCTTAGGTACAGTCCACCTTTCTCACTCTTTAGCAAGAGATCTGTTGTGCCTGCGTGTCCAATTTCATCATCATTTCAAGAAAGTATTTTTAAAAAAGAGTTGGGGCACTGGCCTGTGTCTGAGGTTTGTAGTTGACTTCCCAGCTCTGCCACTTGCTTTCTATAGAATACTGGACAAGTCCCATAAGGTATTTAAATGCCTAACTCCTATTTAGTCACCTAAATTCCCATTGAAATCATGAGAATTTAGACACCTGACCTACATACTTTTCTGGATCTGACACTTTTCTATGCCTTGATTCCTATAGAATGGGAAGAATAAAAATAATCCTTCCTGTTGCCCACTTCTTGTCTGATTAGTTGACAAGCTTTTGGGGCAGAGGTCATCTCTTACTAGGTATTCATGCAGTGTTTGTTCCAACAGGCATCTAATTGCACAATAATTTCCATTTGCTCTGGGAACAAACTACTGCCTCAGACTATTTCAT